TGAGCCTGTCCTCTCTGGACAGCCAGGTCTGCCTGTGTCCAGTTTCTCTGGCCTGGCTGTGGGCACTGAGTCTGTCCTCTCTGGACAGCCAGGTCAGCCTGTCCTCGAGAAGCTTAGGGGGTTATAGGGGGGAGCCGAGTTGGTAACGCGACTATATTTCCTCCGGCAGAGGGCGCCAGAGAAGCCCAGATTGCGCATTCCAGAGGCGACCGCGGTCTCTGGCGCCCTCTGCCGGAGAAAAGCAAGAATATATTTACCGGAAAAAAACGTTCACGTTGCAATACTGACTCTCTCGGCCTAATACCTTTCTTCTAGCCCGTTCCCTTCTCTTTAGTACTTTGCCCCTTATTTTTGATGTAACGAACCAGATAGTCCACTGCGTGTGGAATTTCACAGTAAAGCTGCATGAATGTGTGCAAACATGAGAGCACCCGACTGCTCTAGAGAGGACTCGGCAGAAACACCCCGTCACAGAGAAATCTACACAATCTTTTGGGAGTGTAAATTAAAACCTCTTAAATCCACATATACACAAGCATACCATTTACTTTATAGTAAACAAACTATTTAAATCAATGAAAAAGATTCTGCAGTATTAGCCTAACATGCCAACGCATGCAACTTGTTCTGCATGGCAGCCCTGGACACACAGCTCCACAGCGCCTCCTGCTGGTTGGGTACAAAGGCTGTTGGCACTGATCAGAATGACAGGTCCTGCCAGATGACTTTCCCAGCAGTGTGAGCTCATGTGTGAGGTGGTGTGAGACTCGAGGTGAAGCTGTACGATCTGTCCCTGCCGTAACGGCTCTGGGGGAATTGCTGTACCAGGAATGCTCTGCAGCCGGCTGTTCTCTCTGGCGCCTCCAGGTGGCGCTGCAGGAGGAGGGAAGGGGGGGGTCACAGACACAGGGTGGTGGGAGTGACGGAGCCTCCCCCATGACTCTCCCTCCCCCAGCAGGGTCCCCACACCGCCGTCACACCCCTCCCCGCGGGCCCAGTTCAGACCCGTCCCCACACAGCCGCGCAGGGGGAAACTAGCCGGGAGGCAGAGCTGACGAGATCAAGCAGTATCCAAGACGACTGAAAACACAGGAGAGCAGGACGACGGTTTGATTTTTTTATTTCAAATTTGGTCTTTTCTCATTTTTTTTGTACCAACAACAGAAGTACAGCCGCACAGACCCCGTGTGTCACCACTCACCCCCACCCCCCAGCCTCAACACACAGGCCCCCCCCCTCGGGACACAGACCTGTCGGCAGC